AGCTTTTTTCTTTTTGCTTATGTGGTGCTGAGGAATCAAACCCAGGGCCTCAGGCATGCAAGGCAAGCGCTCTACCACTGAGCCACCTTCCCAGCCCTCTTAATAGAATCTTCTAAACAGTAAAGGTTGTTGGATGCAGGATGTTTTGTTAAATTCAGAATTAGCATATTCTGAGCAATATGTCCTAATATGAAAGCTGTTAAGGCTGCAGCAATTTTAAATAGCATTAGAACTATGTTAGAGTAGTTTGTAATTCCTGGCCTTGTGGTTTACTTCATCTTTAACTTGTTTTTACCCAGAACTTGGTAAATGACTAAACAGTTAAGCAGTATTGAGGGAGTTTCAAGTAGGCAGAAGCCAAGACTGATGATACTGCTGTCCTTATCTTTGTTTCTCATACTTTCTACAGCTGTACGATACTAAAGAAGTTTTCACATCCATTTTCCATATCTCTTTTCTGGTAGGTATACCAGGTTTAAGTTAGTGAAGACAGTTACGCTGAAGCTGCTGTTCTTCAGTTTGTCACCTGTAGTATTTGCTTACCTCTATTCCTTTTTCTTTTCAAGGGGCCATTTTAGGGGCAGAAAGAGGAAAACTCAGAATCAGAAGGGACTGCCTGAATGCTTAGACTCACTGTTCAGAGGGGTCAGTGCCAAACGCAGGCCTACATAACATGTCACTATGGTTAGAGAGCTGTGTTCCAGAGGCCATGCCATGGCTCCTGGGTATTGTGGGTGAGAGAATTTTCAGATAAATATGTCACTTTGGATAGAAATCTTTGTAAATAATATTATAAACACCAAAGTGACACTGTTCAATCATGAAACATACATCTTATGAGAAGGGATCAAATATTTTCTTTTTTTCTTTTTCTTTTTCTGTTGGTTGTGGGGACTGAACTCTGGGCTTGGGCTCTGTCCCTCAGCTCTTCAGCTCAAGGATAGCGCTCTACCACTTGAGCTACATGCCACTTACGGCTTTTCTTCTGCTTATGTGGTGCTGAGGAATCGAACCCAGGGCCTCATGTATGCAAGGCAAGCATTCTACCACTGAGCCACCTTCCCAGCCCCTCAAATATTTTCTTAGTGGTAGATCTATAGCTGTGGTTTGAATTCTGCCTCCGCCAACTACTAACCATATCCATTAGACAAATAAACATTCTCTCAGCATTATTCTCTGAAGTAGGAGCCGTAGGGTGCCTACCCGATAGAAGCCATTGAATTAAATGAAATCACTTGTTGAAACATGTCCACCATGCTGGGTGCTGGTGGCTCATGCTTGTAATCCTAGCTATTAAGGAGGCTGAGATCTGGAGATCATGGTTGGAAGCCTGCTGGGGCAGAAAAGTCTCCAAGAGAATCTTATCTCTAATTAACCACTCAAAAACCAGAAATGGAGCTGTGGATCAAAGTGGTAGCACACTAGCCTTGAGCAAAAGAGCCAAGGATAGTGCCTGGGGTCTGGGTTCTAACCCCATGACCAACAATAAACAAAAAGCCCCAAACAAATGTGTCCACCATATTTTATGAATAGAGAATAATATAACTATTTTTATATAATGTATATATTATATGCAGTTATATATATTATAATTATAATATTTATTACTTTAAGAAATAGAATCTACAACAGACAAGGTCCTCATATCTAAAATATACTTACAGCTCAAACAAATTCCCCCAAAACAAATCCCCAAACAACCACCCCATTAACAAGTGGGCTAAAGACTTAAAGAGAGACTTCCCTGAAGAGGAAATAAGAATGGCCAGTAGATAACATGAAGAAATGCTCAACATCTCTGACCATAAAAGAAATGTAAATCAAAACAGCAATGAGATTCCACCTTACCCAGTCAGAATGGCCATTATTAAGAAATCTAATAACAAATGCTGGTGGGGATGTGGCCAAAGGGGAAAGTTACTATACTCTTGGTGGGAGTGCAAACTTTTTCAGCCACTCTGGAAAGCAGGATGAAGGTTCCTCAAAAGACTAAACATAGAGCTCCCCTATGACCCAACAATCCCACTCCTGGGCATTTACCAAAGTTTCCACAAACAAGGTGATACTAAAGCTGCCAGCACAACCAAGTTCATTGCAGTATTATGTTCCATAGCTAAGATATAGAATCAACCCAGATGCCCCTCAGTAGATGAATGGGTCAAGAAGATGTGGTATATGTACACAATGGAGTTCTGTGCTTCCATCAGAAAGAATGACATTGCCCTATTCATAAGGAAATGGAAAGACCTGGAAAAAATTATACTAAGCAAAGTAAGCCAGACCTAAAGAAAAGTAAGTTGCATGGTTTCCCTCATTTATAATAACTGGAATATGCCTATGATATTCTTAACGGGATATCAATGGTCCAGTTGCTAAGTGCATAGGGCCATATGTAATGAAGCATATCAATGTGAACTCCAAGAATTGAAAACAAGGTTCTTTTTATGTCCTGTATGTAGTTTTTTCTTCTTTTTTTCTCTTAGTTTTCTGTACCTTGTATCTTACTAATGTATGTTTATTTGATCTGTGGAAGGGAAAGGGAATCACAGAAACATCAGGACAAAGCATGAACTAATACAACAATGATACTAGATTCTATGTTGGAAATGAACTCTACAACTTGGGGGGTAGGGGGGTAGGGCAGGGTAAGTGGGAGGAACTGAAGGATGGGTAACTGTTTAAAAATAAATGTACTCATAACCTTTTTTACAATGTAACACCTTGCTTGTCACCTTTTCAATAAAGATAGGGAATAAAAAGATATAGTATTTATTACTTTAAACCTAAATTCGTCCCATTCATATCCTGATAATTTATAAATGAGGTAATTTTATTAATAAACTTTTTAAGTGATAGAGATGCTGAAGAGTTAAAGCTTTCATGAGTGAGAGCAAACACTTGGAGGAAGTTAAAACTAAATGTGATAGAAAAATACTTGTTGTAGTATGATATAGCAACCCCTAGAAATTGTTTTGATAGTTTATGGACCTGATTAATATTTGATCATTAAATGTTTAATCATCTAATGACATAAGTGCCTTAAGGTGACTTTGGGAAGGGGCATTGGGAATATAAAGCAAAGTTTAAGAAAATGCTATTAGCCCTGAAAAGAAAGGTAATACTTCTTCAACATGGTTGCTTAATGATAGCATACTAAAAAGTTTCATGTTCTAATTTTTAAAAATAAAAATCCTGTATTTTTTGTGTATATAACAACCTATGAATATATGAGCATGGAAAAATACTGAGAAGCATTCATACAAAGAAATAACTTTGTTTAATTTCTGTATTGTAATGTGGGAGTGGGCACCAAATACCAAAGGAAACGATCTAAAATGTGAAGTTACACCATGTACATGTATATGTAAAGATTAACTAAAAAAATCAATAACAAGTAAATATTCTTTAAAATGTGCATATATGTAAAGATCAACTAAAAATCAATAAGTATTCTTTAAAAAGTTATATTCCTTTTAAC